AAGGCACTTACCAAAGTACTTACAAAGTATCTACCATATTTGAATGCTAATATAAACATAGATTAAAAATTAATATTACAGGCCAGGCATAGTGGCACAGGCCTTCAATCCCGGCACTCGGGAAGAAAAGGCAGGAGCATCTTTGTGAGGCCAGTCTAAAAACCAAAAAAATAAAATAAAAAAAATTTAGTATTACAAGTTGCATACCTAGCATGTGTGAGGTCATGGGTTCAATTTCCAGAATTAAAAAAAGAGGGAAGGGAGAGAGAAAAATAAAGAGGAAAAACAAATTCTTCCAAAACCTTTGTCAATAGTTACTGCAGCGATTACAAGTAAACCCTAATTTTGTCCATCAAACATCACTAGAATAACATTTTCCCTTCCTTCCTTCCTTCCTTCCTTCCTTCCTTCCTTCCTTCATCTCTCCAGCCCCTCTTTGTTTATGATTAGTAAGCATGTTTCCCAGAGAGAGCATGTATTTTTTGGAAATATTTAACATTTTTAAAAAAATTTTTTTGAGATAAGGTCTTCCTATAGCCTCAGCTGGCCTGGAACTTGCTATGTAGACCAAGGTGGCCTCAATTTCACAGAACTTTGCCTCTGTCTCCCAAGTGTTGGAATTAAAGGCATGTGCCTCCATGTCAGGCCTATTTTAAAATTTATTATTGTATGTACAATATATGTAAGGGTGTGAGTGTGCAGAGTTGGTGTCGTTGCATTCATTTGAGAACCCTGGTAAACCTCTGGGTAAGGATTTGGAGAGAAAGAAAATGGGCATTTCACTCTGTAAATTCTGGGTCATTACTGTTGTTGTATTACAACAGTAGATGGCTCAGTCAGTAAGGTATTTGCTGTGAAACATAAGGACCTAAGTTTGATCTCCAGGACCCATGTAAAATTCTAGCACTGAGAAGGCAGAGAGAGGCAAATCTCTGGCCGTGCTATGCAGCAGGCAAGCTCCAGGTTCAGTGAGAGACATTATCTTAAAAAATAGGTTGAAGAAGCTGGGTGTGATGGCGCCTACCTTTAATCCCAGCTCTTAGGAGGCAGAGGCAGGCTGATCTCTGTAAAATTGAGGCCAGTCTGGTCTCTGCAAGTTCCAGGCCAGCTGGGCCTATAGGGAGACCCTATCTCAAAACAACAAAATAATAAGGTGGAGAGTGATCATATGAAACTGGTCCATAGCTCCAGTTCCAGGGGATCTGACACCCTCTTCTGACCTCCATGGGCATTCCATGGCATGGGTTCGCTTGACATCAACTTCTGGCTTCTACATGCACACCCACACAAGTGAGTATGTGCATACATGCACACAACATGAACACGAACACACACACACACACACACACACACACACAACCTCTTCCTAAAAATTCTTTTAAGCCAGGTGTAGCAGCACATGCCTATAATCCTAGCACATAGGAAGCAGGAGGATCACTGCAAGTTTGTGGCCAGCCTGGGCTATATATCCAGTTCCAGGTCACATAGCAAGACCCCACCTTAAAAACAAACAAACAAAAAAGCTGGGTGTGGTGGTGCATGCCTTTAATCCCAGCACTCGGGAGGCAGAGGCAGGGGGATCTCTGTGTGTTCAAGGCCAGCCTGGTCTACATAGCGAGTTCCAGGAAAGCTGGGGCTACAGGGAGACCCTGTCTCAAAAAAGACCAAAAAAAATAAAATAAAATAAAAATAAATAACCCAGAGCACACTTGGATAAAACAGAAATGGTAGAGGATCTGGTAAGATGACTCAACAGTTAAGAGTACTGGCTGCTGGGTTCGATTCCCAGCACCTATATGGTGGCTAACAACTGTCCTTAACTCCAGTTCCAGGGAACTCCAACACCCTCTTCTGGCCTCTGAGGGCATTGCACAACATGGGTGCTCTTACATATGGGCAATACACTCATACACACACATGCATGTGTGCGCACACGCTCACTAATAATAAATATATAAAAAGAGAAATGGTAAAAAATAAGACAATTGGTTTGGGGCCATACTGTACATAGCCTTGAATGTCATTTTGAGGATTGAATTTAGCACAAGAAGAATGGGAAATAAAAAAAACAAAACAGCAATGACACAGATTTTTCAGATCTGTTTTTCTTTAATTGCCAGAACACAGAATTAGAGGAAAGGGAAACATTAGGAGGAGGCTATTGCCATGGTCCAGGCAAAAAAGACTATGGGTGCTGGAGAGATGGCTCAGTGGTTAAGAGCACTGACTGCTCTTGCAGAGGACCTGGGTTCAATTCCCAGCACCCACATGGTGGCTAACAATCGTCCACAGCTCCAGTTCCAGGGGATCCAACACCCTCTTCTGACTTCCATGGGCATTCCATGGTATGGGTACACTTACATACATGCAGGCAATGCACACATCCACATAAAATAAAAAATAATAAATAAAATTAGATTATTTTTTTAAAAGCTTGGACATTTCTCAATCTTGGGAAAACAGAGAGTTGGAGGGTGAGAAAGACAGAGGGAGAGGGAGAGAGAAGGAGAGAGGGAAGGAGGGAGAGAGGGAGAAGGAGCAGGGAAGGAAATGAAAAGGGAGAGGGGATGAAGAGAGGCAGGGAGGGTGAGAAGGAAGGAGAGAGAGGGAGAGAGAGAGAAGGAAGGAGGGTGAAGGAGAGGGAGAAGATGCAGATACACATGCATGCTGAGTTTTCTGGAAACATGCTGAGACCCAGTTGGAGATGCAGATGTTTACTGGGGGAAAAAGCAGGACTGAGTTGAGGGAGAAGTCAAACTGCATTGTAGATTACATGCAGGCTCAGTCAACCTGGCAGGGAGCTCTGGAGTAACTGGGCATGGCTGGATATTTATACTTCTGCGTGCCCAGTCATGGGAGGACAGTCACAGGATGGCCATGCCCTTGTGCAGGACTATTCTCTGCAGCTGAGGTAGCCACTTGGGAACAGAAGCATCAGGAGGCCCTCTGCTGGTTGTATTCCCTGAAGGGCAACAGCAAACCTTTCTTGAGGTTAAACTAAGGGGTGCACTTTTGTGCCTCCCATAGAGAAAAGATGAAGGATGGGAAGGAGGGAATGGATTCTAGGAGTCTATAGATTTTGTATTTTATAGGTGAGGCTAAAGAAAAACATTATAATAAAGCTTAACCCTGAACTCTACATTTATAGAATTTGAATGCATTTCTTCTATCTATTAACATATTAAACAACAGGAGAGAACAGGTTTAGGAAAAATGGTAATACATTTAATTTCTAATATGTTGACCCTGCGATAGCTGCAAGATATTAAGGTAGAGTTAATTTTCAAGAAGAAGGTAAAAGAACTGGCTATGGTGTCTTAGAAGGTGGGGTAAAAAGAGAGTGCTAGTTCCTGTAGTCAAATGCTGTAGATATCATGAAGGATGAGAATTTGACAGTGACAGGTGACTGGTGATCTTAGAGCACTTTGTAGAGAAGCCAGGCTGCAGTGGGTTGCAGAGTGAGTGGAAGATGAGCCAGGAAAAACAAAGGCTATAGGCCGTTTTTTCAGAAGTTTTGTAAAACAGAGGAAATAATTATACCTCATACATAAAATAAGAAATTTGACACTTAATTTATGAATAACTCATTGCTTCCCTAGTGCTTGGATTTTACAGCTGTGACATTTCTCTGATGTTTCTTTCTTCCCTATTAAATCAGTGACCTTTCCCAAGTCAACACACCTGGAAGCATTGAATCCTATTTATTTTGGTTACAGGCAACTGGTTTTATTTAGTTACATATTTTGCATGCCTCAGGTGAGTCTGTCTTTGCAGGACTCCGCAACCCCAATTCCATCATCTGTTTTCCATGGATAAGCAGTCACTCCTCAAACAGATTCAACAAAACATGTGAGTTCTTAAGTTCTTAGCAAACCAAGCACTTTGTCTCCTGGCCTCCTCCCAATACCCTCCCCAAACCCTTGGTTGACAGATGTAGAAGAAGGAGGTTATCACTCCAAACAGTCTGGGTTGTGGCACCCTGCTGGGAGAGTCCGTTTTGCTTCATAGGAGCTAAGACCTTCCCTCCCAGCCCTCATCAATCCAGTTCTTTCTCTGAGGGCTGGAGAGTAACTAGCAGCGACGTCCACCTGTGCACAGGAAGATGCCCACGGCCACACCAGCGATTATGAAACTGCCCACCAGGACGCCCAGGACCAGTGAAGTGTAAGAGCGGCCTGTTTGGCTCCCTGTAGAACAGGCAGAGAATTAATTTAAAAACATACTCCCAAGGGACTTATACCTCCAAGGAAAGTTCCTAGTAACTTAAGCTTTGTGGAAGTACCCTGTCCCCAGCCTCCAGTCCCTACCCTTTGTTGCTCAAGGTACCCATTCCGGAGCCTGCCCCCTCCCCAACACGGACAGGACCATAATCCCTTCCTACCTTTCAAGTTTTTCATGACCATATGCTCAGCCACATACTGCACACAGGTGTCCTGCAGAAATTCCTGCAGTTCATAGCGAGTCCGATTGTAGGCGTTGAGCTGCTTCAGGATGAAGGTGACTACTTTGGAGGGTGCCTGGGAGCCTGCCACCCATACGGCGGTGTCTGGCCGGAAAGTGACGAAGGAGCTCCCATTCACAGACACTTCGAAGAAGACGTGGGCTTCAGAGCCCTCTTCCGGAGGCAGCTCACAGCCCACGGAGCACTGGATTGTGAGAGGAACTGTGGAAAGAGATTCTGAGTCAGTGCTGTGTGCCTGAAGAAGGCGCCAGGAGCTGGGGGCTGTTCACCAAGAAGAAGAGGGTATGGAAGGGGGTTGTAGAGAGAAGGGATTGGGGTCTATGAGAACATGAGAGAGGGAGTTTTCAGGAGCGGGCTGGGGTTAGCATATCTAAAGAAGATCCAGGGACTATGGAGAACCCTGGAACCACGAGAGGGGCTGGAGGAATGGCTAGTGGTTGAAGTAAAGAGCACTGGCTGTTCTTGCAGAGGACCTGGGTTTGATTCCCACCACTCACATGATGGCTAACAGCCATCTATAACAACAGTTCCAGAGGATCTGACACTCTCTTCTGATCTCTACAGGCACTGAACAACACAGGTGCACTTATATACATGCAGGCAATACACACACACACACACACACACACACACACACACACAAAATGGGACCATGAGAGAACGGAGCAGAAAAAGGTAATGAAGAGAGGGAGTGATGGCTTCCAGAGAAGAAATTGGGGTCTTTGAGAGGAGTTGGGTTATGAGGGAGCTGTGGGTAAAACCACCAGCCCAGCACCTGTAAAAAGAAGAGGTGACTGGTGGCTTGAGAGAAAAGTGCTGAGGGTTTCGTGAAGGGAAGGATGGGGGAACTAGGAGAGAAAGGAATGGGGGAAGTCGTCAGTGAAACTTTGGAGGTTTGAGTGGGTCAGAGACAGGGCCCCCTAAGAGGGCATGTTGGCCAGAAAAGGATCTGGTGGATGGAGGTCTCCTGTAGTTAGCAAGGGTCAGGGCAACAGAGAGTCACGCCCACCCTCAAAGACCCTCCTCTCCAGGGGGTCCTGGCCCAAAGTCCCGCCCCCAAGCCCAGCAGGCCCCGCCTCTCACCCGCCAGGGCCCGTCCTCAGCAGCCGGGGCACCTGGCGCCCCTACTCACAGTACACGCTGCTCTTCCGCTCGCGGTGCACCAGCTGCACCAGGCTGTGGAAGTCGCGCAGGTAGAGCTGCACACCGCTTTCCGTGCGCGCCCAGCTCTCGGGCTCCTGCAAGGGCTGCAGCTGGAGGATCGTGACGTTGTTGCCCGGGCCTTCCAGCGTGTGTGTCAGGAGTCCCCCCAGCGACGCGTTGCCTTGGTGTCTCACGTGATAGGGGTCGCGGAAGTAGGAGATTTGCACCATGTGGAGGCTTTGGGGGCCTGGGGACAGAGTCAGTGCAGCGTCAGGAAGGGGTGGCTGGCAGCCCGAGATAATAACTCCCTACCTAGAGGCCGCCCACCTTCTCAGCCCATAAAGCTCTCTCCCACCTTCCTTCCCATTTGATGTTCACAATAGCCCTGCCAGGAGGACAGGACGGGGACTATTATCTTCGTTTTACAGATGAGGAAACTGAGGCCTGCAATAGGAAGAGGCAGTCCTCTGTCTCCCTTCTTCCCCCCTTCACATTTCCAGACGGTCAAATTCTGGCCTACAATTACGATTCCAGTTCCAGCTCCCGACCCTTCTTTCCTCTGTCACTGCCCTAGTTCAGGCCTCACTGATTGGCATCTGGGCTGGGGTACCCACGAGATAACCTCATTTCTCAGTTTCACCCTTCCTGACTGGATCTCTGCCTGACCCAGGGATAAGACTTTTTCCTCAAACTCCTCTAGTGATATACCCTCCCCTACACAATCGAGGATAATAATAGCTAATTTCTATGAAGTGCTTGTTACACTGTGGACACTGTTTTAACACATTATTATCTTATTTGTGCCTTCCTCCTAAAGCTTCAATGCAGTAGCTACTATTATTAACCCCATTGTACTTGGGAATCTGAGGCTAAGATGGCATAACAGAGGCAAGATTTGAATGTAGGTATTTGGAGTCCACCACCTTCAGTCTGCTGTCAGCACCTCCCCATAGGATACCTGTCCACAGACTAGACCTCAGAGTCTGGCCCCAGCCTGGGAGTCAAGGCAGGGTGATCTGGCCTGATCTGCATTTTCTGGCCAACCTCAGTTATATCAATTGCCTTGGAGTTCCTCCTGCTGACTTGGCTGACAGGTGAACAGTATGCCTTCCTTGTTCTGTATGGCAAATTTCTATTCATATTTCAAGACTGAGCTCAGTTGCCCCCTCCTTGGACCAATTTCCTGAGTCCCCTCCTCTACCTTCCTTTTCAGCTGGGTCTGTTTTAGTGATCCCAGACCTTGTTGTGTCAGCACATATTTTATGGAATTCCAAGTGTTTGTCTCTAAACATACAGAGAATACACTAGACGCCAGGCTATGGAATTGGGGTGGTTATTTCTGCCTTTAACACCCAGAAAAGGGCCTTGGCAGTGTTGGTGCTCAGAGAATGTCTGAATGAGTATGGTGGTGTAAGTGTCTCTGTGTGTGTGTGTGTGTGTGTTGCATTTGGGAAGTTGTGCTATGTATCTGCAGGTATGGATAAGTATGCTTATCCTATAAGCAAACTTAGACATGGCCCTTAACTGCTCTGTGATCCAATTTTCTCCTCTGTAAGATGAATATGATAATATTGCCCACTGCAGTGGATAAATAAGTTGATACATGTATTAAATATAGTAAGTACTCTGAATGCTGGTTAGTAATTGTTCCTTCTCTGAGGGGGCAACTGAAGCTAGAGAATGTGAGAGAAGGGGAGACTTGTGCGACTATAAGGCAAGGAGATAACTCCCCTTTTCTGCTGGACAGCTTCGGCCTTGGATCCTTCTGGCCTGGGCTTCTTTCTCTCCCCTGTTCGACCTCACCAGTTGCACCCCAGTCTTTCTCTTGGCCATCTTCCCATCTCAGCCCTAAACTTCCATTGGTGTCTTCCTGGTTCCTCATCTTCCATGTTCCCTAGCCCCACCCTTCATCTTCACCCCTTCTGCTCTCCTGCTCTCTCTTCCCTGAATTCCTCCCTTTCTCTGAAGCTGGTTTTCTCACCCACTCTACAGGTCCCTTGGCTATTTTTCCTGTCCTCCTTCTCGCAGCCTCTCCCAAGTCCTTTCCAGAGAGTTCTCTGAACTTCCCTCACCTTGTCTTTGGGACACAGAGCAGTGCCCAGGACCCAGCCTGCCCTGTAGAGCGATCCAGTCAGTCTGTTCACATGGATGCTGTGGGATTAGCTCTCCTGCAATCTTGCCCAAGTCCCCAGATACATTGAGAGTCCCCAGAACAATCCCAGGCTGAATTGTGTCCCCAACTCACCATCTGAGGCTTCCTGGTTACAGAGGGCGCCGCCGGGCAGCAGCAGCAGCAGCGGTAGCGGCAGCGACAGCAAGGTCATCCACATCCTGGTGCTGAAGTTCTGGATCCCACTCGGCTGCTGCAAGCTAGGGGCTGGGTCTGCAGCCTAGGAAAGAGAAGTGAGGCTGTCCCGGAGGGGCAGGAGCTGAGCGGAGGAGGATGGACAGAGGCCAGGGAATGGGAGGAGGAAGAGGGTGTCAGACTTTTAAAGTGTTATTTCTCTGTGTCTCATTTCCTATTAGGGGGCCGGCCCGCTTCGGCCCCTCCCAGCTTTGGGCTCTCCTGCCTGGACCTGCCTTTTCCCTTCTCCTGAAGCTGCTTCCGAGGCTTGAGAAACGGAGCGGAAAAGGGGGAGAGAAGGGCTTGGTGAGAAGTCCCGCCGCCGCTGAGTCAGGGGGTGGGGCATCTGCTTTCAACTTCGAAGACTCCAGGGTGTAGAGATCATCGGGTTACTAAAAGAGAAACTGAGGCCTGAAGAGATGTAAGGACTTGCCCAAAGTGTGTACGTCACGATGACGACTGATCCAGGACTGGAATTTAGTTTTCCAGCATGATTGTCTACACTTTATCGGAAGTTTAGGTACATAGGAATTACACATAAGGAACTGGCTTTCTGAAAGTCACCAAAAATGAGTAAATATAAAAGTATTCCTTGTTTGTCATAGGAGAGATTTATGAAAATCTATATAAATCTCAGTAGAGAGCTGGTTACACAAGCAATATCCTTCAACCCGAGGTCATAATCTCTTAGTGGACAATAAAAATAACAAGTCATGATTAGCATGCTTTTTAAAAAAGCGAAGTATAACAGAGTAAGACATTTTGGTGCATCACCCTTAGCAAGCATCATTTTGTGAAATACTTGTTCATTTATATAAGGGCATTTTGGTTTGTGTATCTTATTAATTTTGTTTTATTTTGTGTTTCACTCTGTAGCCCTGGCTTGCCTGGAACTCCAGACCAGGGCCTCAAACTCACAGAGATTCACCTGCCTCTATCTCCCAAGACCTGGGACTAAAGGCATGCCACCAAACCTGGCTTATTTCTTATTAATTTTTTAGGTTAGCATGCACAGTAAAGGATTTCATTATGGCTTTTTTTTTTTTTTTTTTTTTTTTTTTTTTTTTTTGTCTTTTTGAGACAGGGTCTCCCTGTAGTCCCAACTGGCCTGGAACTCACTATGTAGACCAGGCTGGTCTCGAACTCACAGAGATCTGCCTGCTTCTGCCTCCCAAGTGCTGGGATTAAAGGCGTACGCCCCCGCATGCCCGACTCATTATGGTATTTTCATACATATGTCATTACGCTTTGTTCTTATTCCTCGCCTCCCCTATGGCGCTCCCAATCCTCCTTCCCCCCTGTCTCTGGTCCCCTTCCTTCCCCACAGTAGCTGCCCATTCTGCTTTTTAAAAATACTTTATTATTTTTCTCTCTTTTTTTGGTATTTTTGAGACAGGGTCTCCCTGTAGCTCCAGGTGGCCTAGAACTCACTATGTAGACCAGGCTGGCTTTGAACTCACAGAGATCCACCTGTCTCTCCCTCCCAAGTGCTGGGACTAAAGGCGTGGACCACCATGCCAGCTTGTTTATTATTTTTCTTTTATGTGTATGAGTGTATTGCCTGCATGTATGTAAGTGCACCCATGCCCTCAAAGCCTGTGGAGGCCAGATGAAGGCATTGGATTCCCTGGAATGGAACGTATGGATGGTTGTTGGCTGCCATCTGTGTGCTGGGAACTGAACCCAGTTCTTTGGAAGAGCAGTCAATGCTCTTAATTGCAGAGCCATCTCTCCAGCCCCGCCCATTCTGCGTTTATGTCACATGTATTCTATTACCCTAGCTTTCCCCTCCTCTCCTGTCCCTTAAGAGCTCTTCTTGCCCTTCATCCTCCTTATTTTTCACACACACACACACACACACACACACACACACACACACACATACAACTCATATTCCACATATGAGAGAAAACGTGCAGTGTTTCTGAATCTGGCTATTTTACTTAACATGATGACCTCCAGTTCCATCTATTTTTCTGTAAACATCACAATTTCATTTTTCATTTTGGATGAATAGAATTTCGTTTTATATAGAGGTGCTGCATTTTTCTTGTCCATTCATCTGTTGTTGGCATATTTCTATGATGGGTTTTGGAAAGTGGCATGAAATGTAGATCTTTTGCTAGGAAGCAAGTAGAGAAGTTTGAAAGTCAGTCCCTCAAACTAGGAAAGTCCCTGTGGTGAAATACTACACAGTGGTCAAAAAACCCTCCCCCGGCCCAACCCTCACTTCATTTTCATATTAGCATTTCCTGAGGTTATGTTACTCACTTATGTAGTTATTGTCTGAATGTCCCACCAGAATGTAAACTCCATGTGGACAGAAGCTGTCATCTCATTCCATTGTGTTCCATACACACAATAAATATCAGTTAAATGAATGACTGAATGAGGACATTATGATGTTCATGCATCTCTGAGTAAGTTATAGAATACTATGTACAGCTTAGAACCAATTGTTCGTCTGTCAGCCACACAGCAACCAAGCACAGGTAGAGCCATGGCTTATCACCAGGGAGGGCTTTGTGATTAAGGGTGTATATTAGTGTGTATATGTAAATGCAGCAGTGAATTGTGAACCAATAAAGATAGCACAATTCCATGTGATGTTTAATTAAAATTCTCATATTTCCCCATATTGAGAAATACTTTGTGTGTCTATCTGTACATCTGAATACACAGAGAATGTCTGGAAGCAGACTATGGCTAGAGGTTGCCTCTGGGGAACAAGACTGGGTCAAGCACTAGTAGAGGAATTTCAACTTCACTTTATATCCTCTTCCTGGTGTCACAGTGGAATCTGGGACAAACTGTGGTCATAAGCTGCCTCCCATTCTCTGAACTGATCATTTGTGAGTGCTTCCATGTTTACTTCTCAAATGTTGCAAACTAGCTAAGAAATGGCATCAGCCTTCAGAGCTTACTGGACTGGTCTGGTTTGAAGAAGAATGGCACCCTTGTTTCCTGAACTGGGACTCGAAGTGGAATGATTTAAATCATGACCAATTATATTGGTCTTGGCTTTTAAAAAAAAACTGATGGCCAGGTGTGGTGGCACACGCCTTTAGTCCCAACACTTGGGAGGCAGAAGCAGGCAGATCTTTGTGAGTTCAAGGCCAGCCTGGTCTACATAGTGAGTTCAGGTCAGCTGGGACTACAGGGAGACCCTGTTTCAAAAAAGACAAAAAACAAACAAAAACTCTGATGAACTGTTTCGTATTTGAACAATTATTACTTCATGCTTGAAGAATTATATTCCAAACATATCCCTACCACCTCCCATGAGAAACACAATGTTACAAATATAATTGAAGTCCTATCAATTGTCCCCAGTTGAATCTCTCTTCCCTTCCTTGGCTCCTGAATGCATCATATCAAATGAAGATTGATTGTTTTTCCATTCTTCACATTGTGCATGTATCCTGAACAGTATACAGTGGTGTTTTGTGCTTTGTGGAAATGGAAATAAGTGATTGGGCCTCTGTAACTTGCTACTTTTGCGTGACACATTAATGTTATTCATCTTTGTTACTATGTGTAGATCCAGTGATTTTCAAAGCTTTAAAATATATTACATTTGGTACTGGAGAGATGACTCCACTGACTGCTCTTGCAGAGGACCCAGGTTTGGTTCCCAGCATCCACATGGCAGCTAACAACCTTCTGTAATTCCAGTTCCAGGGGATCCAATGCCCTCTTCTGACCTCTGCAGGCATTGCACAACATGGATGCATTTACATACATGTAGGCAATATGCTCATACACATAAAATAAAAAATAATAAATAAAATATTTAAAAATAATATATTCCATTTTAAAGAATATGCCACCATTGGGGCTGGAGAGCACATTGGTTAAGAGCACATGCTGCTCTTCCAGAGGACCTGATTTCAATTCCCAGCATCATGTCAGGTGGCTCAGCTGACTGTAGCCTGCAACTCCAGCACTGCACTCATGTGCACACACCCACACATGGACACACACATACACACATGATTTTAAAATAATACAATTTAAAAACAACAAAAGATAATATACCACTATTTTTTCATCATCTGGTTTTAGACACTTAGGATTTTTTTTAATGTATGTATATCTGTGCACGTGTTTCTGTATGTGCATACATGTACATATGTGTGTGGGCCAGAGGTCAACTGTTAGGTGCCTTCCTTAATTGCTATCTTATTTTTTTCTTTTTTTCTTTTCATATGTATTTGTGGATGTGTGTGTGTATCCAAATGTATGGTGCCAGAGGGTGCATGTCCATGTGCAAAGTCGACATCAGGAATCTTCCTTGGTCACTCTTTTGCCTTATTCATTCAATCAAGCCTGACCACCTGAGTTTGCTCCATGGGGCCCACATGATGGAGGGAAAGAACTGTCTCCCACAAGTTGTCCTCTGATCTCCACACACATACTGTGGCACAGGCACACACATACACACACACACACACACACACACACACAGAGTAAATGAATATAGATTTAGTTAAAAAAATTTTTTTCGGGGTTGAAGACATGGCTTAGTGGTTAAGAGCACTGACTGCTCTTGTAGAAGACCCGGGTTCAATTCCCAGCACCCACATGGTGGCTAAGAACCATCCTTAACTCCAGTTCCAGGGGAATCTGATATCATCTTCTGACCTCTGCAGCATTGCACGATATGGGTGCACTTACACGCATGCAGGCAATACACTCATAAATAAATAAAAAATAAATAAAAATAATAAAATATTTAATTTTTTTTTCAAGCTCAGAGCTTGGTGACAAGACTAGTCTTATAGGTCTTGGTCTAGTGGTACATGCCTTTAATCCCAGCACTTGGAAGGCAGAGGCAGGTCTACATGGCAAGTTCCAGGTCAGCTCCGGCTACAAGGAGACTGTCTCAAAAAACAAACAAACAAACAAAAACCAAACAAAAGGCCAGCCAGTTTTTTCCAAGGATCTTCGGTCTCCACGTCTGAGGCTAGAATTACAGGCGACCCAATGTGCCCACCTGCGTTTATTTGGGTTCTGTGGATCCAAACTCTTGTTTTCTCACTTGAATGAAATGTACTTTACCCACAGAGCCATTTCTTCAGCCTTCCACCTTAGTTTTTGAAACAGGGTCTCTCCTGTTTGCACCTGGAGCTCACCCACTAGCCAGCCAGCAAGTCCCCCAAATCCTCCAGTCTCTACTACCACAGAGCTGTGATTATAGGTGCACAGTTTTTACATGGGTGCTGAATCCGACCTCAGGA